GCACCCTGGGCGCGTTGTCGTTGCGGTCGCCCACCAGCACGCGCAGGATCACGTTGGCGCTGAGTGCGGGCGAGCCGTGGTTGCGGGCCTGCAGCGTCAGCTCGAAGGCGCGCAGCTGCTCGTGGTCGAAGGGGCGCTGCGCGAACACCACGTCGCTCTGCGCGCTCACGGACATGTAGGACGACAGCGCGCGCGGCTTCAGGTCGTTGGTCACGATGGAGTAGGAGACGTGGCTGTTGGGCCCCAAGTCTGGATCTGAAGTGCTAACTTGGGCGTTGGAGGCTCCAGGCGGGTTGTTTTCGGCCACGTGGACCACGTAGCAGGCCTGGTGGAAAACCGGAGCGTTGTCGTTGACATCAGCGACTTTCAAGGTGACACTTCTTTTAGAGGAGAGGGGCGGCTTGCCCTTGTCAGTAGCTGTGATAGTGACATTGTATTCCGGAGTCTTTTCTCGATCTAAGGCTCTATCTGTCACCAGCTTGTATGTGTTTTTTGTATCTTGAACTATTTTAAATGGGAAATTTCCTTTTAGTTGGCATAAGTTTTCCCCATTAAATCCAGAATCTAGATCATGTGTTTTGATCAAGGCAACCACAGCCCCCAGCTCAGCATCTTCTTGTATATATTTAGATTCAGAATCCAGGGTTATCTCGGGAGCATTGTCATTTTCATCCAAAATATCTATTTGTAGTTTGCAATGCGCAGTGTGACGTCCACCATCCTTTGCTTCCACCCCGATTGTGTAGCTCCCTGTCTCTTCAAAGTCCAGTCCTCCACCAGTGGTGAGTTCCACTGTTTCACTGTCCAGCTTGAACAGCTGTCTCACTGCCTTACCAATATTGATAAAAGCGTAGGTGATCTCAGCGTTGATGCCCTCATCCAAGTCAGTGGCCATCACTCTTAGCACAGAGGAACCCAGGGGTAGGTTCTCTTGAACACTGACCCTGTACATGTCCTGGGTGAACACTGGGGGGTTATCATTTGCATCTGCCACAACTACCCTGATCTGCGTAGTGCAGCTTCTGGCTGGCTCACCCCCATCCACAGCCGTGAGGACCAGGTGGTGGCAGGACTGCTCTTCTCTGTCCAGGGGAGCCTGCACTACCAGTTCTGGGTACCTACTGCCGTCTGGGTTCTCCTTCCGGATCAAAGAGAAATGAGGGTCAGGGTTGAGGTAGTATTGCTGCAGGGAATTGACACCTACATCTGAATCTTGTGCAGATTCCAGGGCAAAGGTGGCTCCAGTTAGGGCCAGTTCACTGATTTCCAGCTCAGTGACATTTCGGCTAAAGGTCGGTGGGTTGTCGTTGACTTGAATCTCCACGGTTATATGAAAAAAGTTCAAAGGCTTTTCAGCGACCATTTCGAATTCCAGAACACACATCGACTTCCTGCCACAAATCTGCTCTCGGTCTATACGATCGATCACAAGTAAGTCTACGTTCTCGGTGCTCACTGTGAAGAATTTCTTCTCTGCACTAATCCGTAGGTTCCGTGTACACAAATCTCGCATGCCAAGCCCCAGATCCTTGGCGAGGTTCCCCTGGCCAGCTCCTCTGGAATAGCGTAGCGGACTTGCTCCGAAAGCGCCAGGCGGAACAAAGACAGCAGGAAGAGAAACAAAATTCGCCTCCGCCCAGCCTGGCGCTTCGACCTCAAGCGGTTTCCCATCCCACTCTCTGCGCCTTTGCCTTTCTGATCCCGAAGAGCTGCGATCGCTAAATGATCCCAAGAATTTCTGAGCAGGAGCTACTCCTTGGACACGTCTTGGCAAGCAGATTCTCGGATAGATATTTCTGCCGCAGAAAACCTCAGAGAGTGCACAGTTCGCGGGATTCCGCGGTCCGCAGGCGATTCCTTTGCTTCAGGAGGAGCTGGATACTTTGTTCAGTACTAGCCAACAGCTGCACCCCGCGCCTCGGCTGCAGAACTGCACTAGTGATTACTAAATGAGTTCCAAATATAGAGCCAGCTAGAAGACAAGTCTACTGTGTCCTC